CTCTGAAGTCTTTGAAGATGACCTGCTTATCTAAAATATACCTTTGTTTGCCCTTGAAAACATACCTAAAGTGACTATGAGTTCAGTTATAATAGGTGATTAAGTACTAATCTGCATTACCTTATCCTAAACAATTGGTAACAACAAGGACTAGAAATTTGCATTATATTGTTAAATAAGTAGTACAGGTACAATACCTTGAACAGGAGTAGAAATATATGTACAGTATGTTCTAACAAAATTAACTTCAAATTTATATCAATATACAAAATTTGTATATAACATACAAAAGTCCAATCCAATATAAAACATCTAAAACTAGTAGTTGCTTTTAAAAAGTAGGCTCAATAATCTATCTTTTATCTTATCATATCCATATCTGCCCTTTTTTTCTTTTAAGAGTAGAGTCAATAATCTACCCTTTTATTCTATCATATCTATATACCCCTTTTTTCTTTTCAAAACTAGAACTCTAAATCTAGTCTCTGTTGCCCAACTTTCCTTCTGGCCGTAACCAATAACAACTTGTACCCAACCCCTCTAAACAATGAGAAATAGCTATAACCTACTGAACGACCAAAAACCACCCACCCCACCTTTTGAGAATGTGGCTGTTTTATTCTTAAATTTACTTCTTGCTGTCTGGGGCACATGGCATCATTAGGAGATCCTGAAAGGAAAAATTTAGGTTAATTGTCAAGTCCTGGGTGAGGCAGCTGTATCATTTGTTGTCTAGTCTCTGCATACTGGGAAAGTGCAGGGCTTGCCTCAAGTCTTGGCTAGAGTAGTCTGTTAGGCTGGATCATCTCAGCTAGGCACCTTGAAATTGTTCTGAACAGTTCCTAATTTTGGGTCTATTCTCTTTTGGGAAGTTACATCTGATCAAATGAAAAGCATAGGTTAGTTTAGATTAAATGATCATGCAGCTTGATTAACTATCATCTCTTCTAAGTAAGAGGTGTCTCTTGTTCAACTCAAATCTTTATCAATTTTGATGGTATCCATGGCTTTTCTTCTCCTGTGGAAACAAAAGCAAAACCCCTTCACCAACGTGACATATGTCCTGGTTTCCAATTTGAGGTCAGTACATCTTTAAAGTATATCAGTTGATTTAACTCTGTAGATTTTTGTCTATTATCTAATGTCTCTCTGCAGCTGTTATTCCTTTCTCATTAGCATTTAGAAACTTCAAAGTTAGTAAAGCAATCTATTTCTTCTGAGGGTACTTATCATCCCTGTTTATTTAACATCCTTTAGATATGTTATCTTTCTATAACTGCCTGGCCTGTACTGTGTTGTGTACCTGCAATGTGCTTTATATTATAAGGAAAAAACAGTTTCATTTTCACAGAGACATATGCTGGGGCATTGTCTGTCTTTATTTGTACAGGTGTACCACATGATGGCCATAACTTGTAGCAAATGTGTGATTACCGAATCAATGTTTTCCAAACTCAAAGCAGCTGCCCACTGAAAACCGGAATGGGTATCAATGGTGTGATGTATATATTTTAGTTTTCCAAATTCTACAGAATGGAGCACATCCATCTACCAGATTTCATTCCTTTGAGTACCCTTTAGGTTACTTCCTGCAGGTAGTCATGTGTGGCTGTATAAGGAGCAAGTAGGACATTTCCTTATAATGCTTACATATCATTTCCAATGGCTGACCTGTAAAATATTGGCACAGGGTGGGGCTATTTAGCATTTCCTAAAAGAGAACCTTCCACTGTTATCTGTTAGCAGGCTGAGAATTATTATAAGCACAGACTGTGAAGGCAAATTCTTCTCTGTCCTTTTCTTGTAAAGGTATAATGAAGAAACAACCTTTTAAATCAGTAACTTTAAGAGGCCATCCTTTAGGCAATAGAGAAGGCAGAGGAATGCCAGACTGTAGAGAGCCCATTGGCAAAATCACCTTATTAACAGCTCTTAGATTGTTTCCATTCTCCATTTTCCAGATTTCTTTTTAACAACAAATACAGGAGAATTCCAAGGGCTGGTTGATTCCTCAATATGCTCAACCCATACAGGTTAGTCTGTAAGCCATTTTAAAGGTAGGGCTGTCGGTGCCTTTGAACAGTTGCTGTGTCCTGTTCTTGTACAACCTGAATGGTTGGTGACTGTCCTCTATAATATTTTGTAATATTTTCCCCAAAAACATACATTAATTTTTGGTTTGTTTTTAAGACTGGAGGAATGTTAATCCGAGTATTCCAATTGCTGTAACAAATCACATTCCCATGGTTCATTGCTATCTTAGCCACATATGGTTTTAATAATCCTATCTGTCCTTCTGGCCCGATACATTTCATCCATCTCGCACTCTGCTTTATCTGAAATGAAGTTCCGATCCCTAAAAACTGAACATTACATCCTGAGGAGGCTAATTTGGATGCCATACGACTATTGCTTCCTTGAATCTCTTTAAATCTAACATTGACATAGGAGAGTCTACTTAATTGTAACAGAGCCTCTGCCATTTGGCAATTCATGTAAGGTTACTGGATATATTTAAGTTGGTTGTCTGAAAACAGGCTGTTCCTCACTATTCTTATAATGCAATGCTGAAATTTATTCTTCATTAAATTCTGTCTGTCTCTCTGTGATCTGTTTTATTAGGTTTTTCTGAGGCCTGTATCAGATTAACCAACTTTCTTAGTGATAAGACAAAAATGATAAAGCAGCAAATGTTTACAATTGGCATTACATAAATCCCATCTAAATTAGATATCCTTTCATTTAATTGTTTCATTTTCAAACTGTTCAGCATATTATTATACAAAGACCCAAATCCCTCCATTGTAATGGTTTCCCATTTTTCAACGTGGTGGTGAAAAAAAATTCTTCCTTTTAACTAATTCCTCCCTTTAAGAATTCCCAATTTTTAGCTGGGTGACGGTGGTGCACACCTTTAATCCCAATACTCGGGAGGCAGAGGCAGGCAGATCTCTGTGAGCTGAAGGCCAACCTGGCCAACAGAGAAACCCTGTCTCAACAAACCCAAAAAAAAAAAATGAAAAAGATTCCTGATTGTCTTACAGTATCCACCTATGATGTTGGGGAAGATGTGGGACTGACTGCTCCTGCGCAGAGCAGTAAAAGCCTGACTGGAGTTGAAAGCAACCTACCTAGTTTGGCAGTAGCCCAAGAAGGGGGTTCAAGGAGTGCCAGCAACCCACAGGGGAGAGAGGAAGGGGCTGTCTGAAAACCACACAGGATTGTTCAGAAAAAGCACATGTGGTTGGGGGCCACTTGAAGAACTAGGCAGTCTAGGGTGGATGTGTCCTGTGGCCTTTGGAGCCCAGGAGCTCCTGGAGTTTAGGTGGCAGCTGGAGACTGTTTCAGAGAGGCTACAACAGGAAAATCCCAAACTTACTCATGGACTTGGGGAAAAAAAGAAAAGGAAGCCCATCTGGGTGGAGCTAGAGTCCCACGGGCAGTTATAGGCAAACGGCTTTTTCGTGAATTTTGTACCCCAAATGTTGGGCACCAAATGTAGTACGAACAATAAAAACCCAGAGACAGATATCGCTGTTCAACCTAAAGATCAGAAAAGCAAAGCAGCCAAGTCACTAGAGAGCTCTTACCTCTATGAAATCTTCAGATTGAAAAGAGAACAAATTCCTGTGTCATCCCACCTTGTATTTCTCTCCAGTGCTGGAATTAAAAGCCTGCACCACTGTCCAGTCTCTATGGCTAACTAGTGTGGCTGCTGGGATTAAAGGTGTGTGCTACCACTGTCTGGCCTGTATGGCTGACTAGTGTGGCTGTTTTGCATTCTGATCTTCAAGCAAGCTTTATTTATTAAAATACACATGAAATATCACTACAGTATCCTCTTGTAGAATGACTCCAAGGAATCTAAGAGAATGAAAACAGTCAACTCTTTGAGGAGCAACCAAAAAGAAGAAGACCCTGCTTGCAGGCCATATTGAGCATCTAGAAGACTATGACATCATGGCATCAGAATCCCCAGGTTTCTTCCTCTATCTGGAGCCAGCCATGAGCAATTTTTTTTTCCAAACAACTATATCCTGATTTCTATATTTTCAACTTGTTAACATGTATATTTATTAGGTAATTGTAAGGATTTTTTCACTGGAAAATTATAATTGTTTTCAATAGATAATGCTAAGGATTGGGTTAGAAAACTTTAAAAATAACATACAAATCCAACATTAACAAGATAAGTCTTCTAAGGGTTAATTTTCTTTCAGCAGTGTGATAATCTTTCTTTCAATAAAAGCATATCTGTGTGAAAGCAGAAAAGAAAAGTCCCAGTAGAAACACTCAGCAGCACATTCTAGCACCATCAGGGACAGCAGGACTCCTGACCCCACCCCAAACAGCAGGTTTGCCTCATCATCCTCTGTCATCCATTTCTCCAACCAAGTTTCTGAAAATCTAATTACATCAATATAGCCCTGGAGAGCGCTAAACAACAAAGAGAGATATGATCATCAGGGCAGGCAGCTAACGAACAATAATCAATTTTACAACTGATTAATTAATTACTGCAGTTCTAAGTGTGTCAAGAATAAAATAATAGTGTACACGACTGCATGTAACAGGGGACCTGACCCAGGCTCAGGCCAAGGAAGGCATCCCGGAGGAAGTGGCATTTAAGCTAAGACCTGCGGTACATCAAAATCTCATTCTTGGGTGACATAAGCCATTAAGATCATCCATCTAAACCCGTGGCTTTAATGCCCTGTCACCCAAAACCCTTCTGGCTTTAATTATACCCTCAATTCAAATCTTCCTAAAGAATGAGTGTATGCTGATCCCTGCCACAAGCACTCCAGTAGGCTTGATATTTTTACCTCTAGTTTTGCATCCAGATGAAATAAAGTAGGCATTTTATGAGCCTACAAGAAAATAAATGAGGTATAACAAAACAAACCCTGGGCTCAACAAAGTCTGTGTGTGAACGTCAGAGATATCTCTGAGGTATCTTAAATGTAAGAAAGGGCTGAGAGGGGAAGGAGGTCACCTACCTTTAGCTTTCTTGGTTGCAAACTGGCGAACTGGCATGGCTTGGTAGGCTAAGTATTGCCTTTGCTCATGTTGTCTTCCATGCACAGGCTTCATGGAAATTTCTGAAGCAGGTCTGGTCAAAGTAGTAAGGTAACTGCAAAAGGCAGGGTGCAGCAGGCGGAGGCACTTTATGCCCAAGGCCATGATGAAAGAGAATCCACACAAACAGTCACTAAAAGGAATAAGACAAAAGACCTCAATAAAAGAAAACCCATAGCAACTTCCAAAACCAATTCATGCCAACTACCAAGCAAGTCCTCTAACTGAGCCATGAACTCAAACATTATCTCTAAGCTGCCTCCCAATAGCCTCAAAAAGAACTATTCTCCTCACCTACAGGACGAAGAATCTGGTGTTCAGAGACTTAAGTGACCCACTCAGACTGTGGAGTTCTTTCAGTGTATCTAAATGTCTGTTAAGCAAATGTGCAGCAGCCTAAATCTATGATGATGCTAATTAAGCCCTTATATGAGCAAAAGCACAAACTCTTGATAAAGTTTAAAGAGGAAAGGCAGAGTACTAAAAGGGGCCTATAAGTAAGAAAAACATTTTAATAGGCATAAAATGACTGGAAAATTTACATGGCAGCATTTAATTAAAATTTTCTTTGGTTCCTTATGCACTGATTACCAATTAGAATCCACTTTAATTTGAGTCTGAAGTATGATTGAGGTTTGAGGTCTTCCACGGTCTAGAACTAGGAAATGCCAACATCCATTGAGGTAACACAAGTTATACACATTTCTGAGGTCTCTGACCATACAAAGATGCTATTGTTTCTTCTGAGACAGAACACAGTCCTAGCCAACAAATATCACACTAAGAGCTTCTGCCAAGAATCTGGTTATTACTTAGCTAAAAATTAAGAACAATTAGTACCAAGTGTCTGGAAGCACTATCTTTGGAAATCACATCTCATTTAAAAAAAAAAAAAACTGCTAAAGTGTTGACGCAGCATAACGCGATACACAAGAGCAGGCATTCTGCAGCACGAAGACATAAAATCCAATCCCAGCTCCACCACTTACTAAATAAGAACTGCTGAGTCTTCACTTGCTCTTCTGTAAAATGGGACTGGTACTTATTTCTTCAAGTTGGGAATAATGAGACTAGGCAGGTAAAACACTTGGCATGGTGACTATTAGGTAATAGGGACATAAGAAATACTTTTTGATAGTTATCAGTTTTCATTTTAAGGGCGTCTGTGCTAGGGTCAGACAGGATGAGGACACTTGTACATATGTCAGAACTAATGCGTAAAGTGGCAAAGATTCAGTCAGATGTGGATGTAAATTTCTGTCTGGGGTAACTCATCCTTTCCCTATCAGTGAGAAAGATAGGCCTCACTTAAAAATGAAACACTGAGTACATATAAAACATCCAGCACAGACCTGGCACACACTAACTGCTCAAGGTGTGCAACTATTATTAAATATTATTACCAGCATTACTTTTTTTAATGAAAAGAAAATGAGCAACACATAATGCCACATGTGGTGAGGCATGACTATAATTCTTGCAGTTAGGTGTTCAAGGTCCATCCTCAGTTAAACATCAAACTGGAGGCTAGCTCAAGCTAGATGAGATTCTATCTTTAAAAACATGCAAAAAAGAAATGAAATGAATAAAGTAAAGGCAAACAATTCCTTCTGATGCGATTTTTAACAAGTTCTGCTGGACAGCAGCAATCAGCGTACCAGATCTACACAAACGCAGGCCTGGGCTGTTTGTTTTACTCATATTTGTTCATTTCCTCCTGTCAATAATGCCACAGATAAAGCATTATAGTCCCGACTTTGTAGACGTTGAAACTGAGGCTCAGAGAGATGAAGGCCCTGCCCACAACTGTCGAACGAATAACAGTCCAATACCACTTAAGAGCCATTCACAAATGTTTGGCTCTGAGTGACATTTCTAAAGCTCAGTTTCTACCTAATATAGCAATCCCCAACTCAAATTTATATCCAAATATGGCTGTAAAATAATGTGCAGTTTAGGTTTTAGTAATTGACAGGGTCTCAGTCTGGCTACAGTGTGTATGACAGGTTTCCTGGAGTTCCTATTGTGGGTCGTAATACCAATCCACAAAGCAACAGGAAACTAAAACGGGTTAGAAATAAACAACCTTTGACAGAAAATTCAGCACCAAGAAGCAGGCCCAATACATGTGAACCGGAAGACAATTCTATAAATAAACCACATTGCTTTATGCTTGAAACATTCATTTCAATTGCATAGAAGTCAGGGAATTTCACAGTGGAAGTTCAATAAAGCAATCGGGTGGGTCTCTAACCTTAGGAACATGAACACTCAGGTCAGTATATGAAGCATTAAAACTAAAGAAGAAACTTCCTATGAGAGAGTTCAAGTATGTTCCAGACACATTAACGCACTCACAAGAGAATCTGTTTCCCCACTACCTGTGTGACCCTGAATAGTCCATCTTTCTCAGCAACATTTTCTACTACATCTTTTTCACTTTAAAAAACTAATACTTTTAGCACATGCCTTTAATCCCAGCACTCAGGAGGCAGAGGCAGGTGGTCTCTGTGAGTTCGAGGCCAGCCTGGTCTACAAAGCAAGTTCCAGGATATCTAGGACTGTTACACACAAAAAAAACCCAGCATCTCAAAAAAAAAAAAACCTAGTATTTTTTAAATAATAATTTACTTTTATTGTATGTGCATTGTTGTTTTGCCTTCGTGTATGTCTCTGTGAGAATGTCAGATCCCCTGTTACAAACAGTTGTAAGCTGCCATGTGGGTGCTGGGAACTGAACACAGGTCCTGGAAGAGCAATCAGTGCTCTTAACCACTGAGCCATCTCTCCAGTCCCCCAAATAACTAATAAACTTATATTTTAATATTATGTTTTGTTTACTCTTTAAGAGTTCCACATACTTACAAACCTACATCCTGGCTTGCCCACTGTCCTAGCAACCCTTCCCAACCAGCTGTGTATTGTGTATTGATATACAACATATATTTCTAACTTTTGAACATGTTGATCATGCTGGTATGCAGCTGGAAGATCTTGTATATGAAATACTTTTCCCATCTTATTGTATTTGCTTACCATATACATTTTACAAAATAAATTGATCTTTCATTTCCTCATGAGTTTCTTCTGTTCCTAAGTTTTTAAATATGCCACTAAGGGTGCTGAAGAGATGGCTTGAAGGCTAAGAACACTGGCTATTCTAACACAGGATCTGAGTTCGATTCTCAGCAACCACATGGTAGCTCATAACCATCTATATAACTCCAGTCTAGGAGATTCAGCACCATCTTCTGGCATCCACAAGCACTAGGCACATATATACATGTAAGCAAAATACCCATAGACATAATTTCTTTCTTTTTTTCTTTTTTTTTCTTTTCTTTTTTTTTTTTTTTTTTAGTTTTCCAAGACAGGATTTCTCTGTGTAGCACTGACTCTCCTGGAACTGTCTCTGTAGATCAGGATGGCCTTGAACTCACAGAGATCCACCGGACTCTGCCTCCCAAGTGCTGGGATTAAAGGTATGCACTACACCACCCTCCGTTCCCTCACCCCACTCAATAAAACATTTTTTAAAAGTCATTAAATAAGCTCGGTGTGGTCTCCCCTTATCTCTTTACCATCTGTTTTTCCTTAGATTTCAGCTTAACCATCAGTCTGTCAGAGCACAGGGTCAGTGGCCACCCCTTCCAACTATGTCCTATTTCCTGAGATCCATTTTCATACCCATACTCCATCACAGCACTTAGTTTTTAACAACAAAAGTAAATATTTGTGTAATTATTTGATCCTTGCCTAAGTATCTCTATATGGCTGTTGGCACTATGTGGCCTATGCTAGCAGACTAATCTACCTACTAATCTAACTGTTCACTGCTGCACTCTTTACTTAGGGTTGTACAGTTTACAGGAACACACATATCACACAAATGTGGTAAGTATGGTAATAGACTTCCAGAAAGATTAAATCCTTGCCCAACATCAAAATACTGACATCAGAGTTGTAATCTACACTTTTGATGGCAGGTCCTGGGATCTACTTCTCAACACTGCCACCATTAGCCATGATTTTTCCAGGTCTTTGTTTGGAATAGGGTTGTTCTTTTTCAAATTCAGTATCATGTAAAGAAAGGTATTTGTAATATTTGACTCAGAACAGCATCTGACTGCCCTTGGCATAAGCCAAAGAGGAATGATAAAATTTTAACAAGTGGATAAAAGGCTTAACCCAAAGACTAGATGAGCAGACTTCAATATCCCACTTCATCCTCATCACATGTATCTTTTGGATTCACAACCAGCCAAGTTCAAAAAGCATATATCACAGCTCAACCAAGGATGTGCACTGGAGCAAATCATTTCTCCTAGCTTGGTTTTCTTTTCTCAGCCATTCCTCGAATGAACCAGAGGTTTCCAGCCTTTCTAACTACAAGTTCTCCAAATTTCGGAGAACTACAACAGAAAGTGCACTTCCTTCCCTTACAGGGAAGACCATTGTGCTCCTGGCTGAACCCTCCCACACTATAGAAAAAGTAAAGGCCAAGACTGAGGATGAGGGAATTCCCCCTGATCCACAGAGGTTGATTATGTGAGTAAGCAAATAGAAGATGGCCATACTTTGTCTCACTAGAACATTCAAAAGGAGACTTTTTTACACCACTCCCAAGAATAATAAGCATAGAGAAAGAAGGTCGAGTTGGCTGTGGTGAAATACTGTAAGGTAGATGGAAATGGCAAAATTAGTCAACTTTGTCAAGTGTCCTTCTGATGAACGTGGTGCTGGGGTTTTCAAGGCTAGCCACTTTGACAGACAATACTGTGGCAAGTGTCTGACTTACCGCCTCACCAAACCAGAAGACAAGTACTCGTGTATGAGTTAATAAAAAGTCAGAACTGAAAAAAAAAGAAAGAAAAAAAAAGGAGGGAAGAAAGAGTACCCAACCCTCAGATGGCCTAGGCAAGAGTCCTGCTTCTAGCACTTTCTAAGTAAGTGTTCTCAATCTCATCTGTAAATTTGCCAGAGCAGTGGAAATGTTGAAGTACCATTGAAATGACAACTGTTTGCCCACAGGACGGCAGAGTGACGATTTTTAAAAGCCCAGGCGTCCGACTCAGGCCTGGGTGGCATTTAAACTTGGGAGCCGCGAAACCCTAGAAAAGATAGCGCTGAGTTTTCGTTTCTACATCACTGGGAATAATTACTATCTCTGCGCGTAGGGCTGTTCGAAAGAGGTAATATTCCCGACGGGTGACGTCCTAAATATCAGGAAGTATTTACCACGTTCCCCAGCAAGGCTCTAAAGGCGGGGTGAGTGACACGCGCCCCGCCCCCACCCTTGAGAGGGTAGAGGGACCAGAAGTCCCGCCCCTGGCTTTAAGGTCGAGCCGAACTCTGCCGAACCGGTCACGGGCGGTAACCTGGCACCACGAGGTCCCTCCGAGGTTCTTGAAAAAGTGTCACTGGCACCTGGACCCGTCCTGCGCCTCGAGACCCCCTCGAGGCCACTCACCAGCTATAGCCCGGATTATACAGAAGCACGCGCGACAGAGGCGGCGCGGCCGTCGTGACGTCACGGGGAGGCGCGGCGGCGCAGACGTAGCGCGTCACGGGCGGCCGGGTGGCAATCGGGGTTTCAGCTGCTGTATCCTCGCGTCCCTCGCTCGGACCCCGGCTTCGGAAGCTGCTCTCGGGGCATGAGCTGAGGGCACAGCTTCGAGACTAGCAGGTGAGTACCCGAAGCTCAACGCCAAGCTGGCGGCGGAGACGTTGGCGGAGACTGCCCTCACCTGCCGGCTTCTAGGCCCCGCCCCGGATTGTCCTGTTCCTCGCCCGGAAATAACAATCCCATTAGTGCCTTTTCGCAGCCTAGAATCGGGAAACCCTGGTTCCTGGCCTGACCCCGCTGTTAGCGTTTAGGAATAAGCGACCCATTTCCCCTCCTGGCTTCTAGTGTTGTTCTAGTGTTGATACAACTCAACTGGGAGAGATCTGGAGAGGCATTTTATGAATTTATTGCTCTAAAGAGTTGTCGCCATTGCAAACCCCAAAAGATTTGATAGTTGCATGCTGCCTTATTAGACGTTATTGGTTTTCAAAAATCCACGTTTGAGCTGTCACATGCATATTCTTATTTAAAATAGCTACGTGATATAGGAATAATTTTCCCCATTGTGGAAGATAACTGACGATGTTTCGTTCCATCTCTAAGAAAATTGTACCAACTCTAAGCCCGGCAGTGCACTACCTGCTGGTCATAGAACCATGATCAAGGCAGGCAAGGTCCTGCGCTGTACGAGCTTTTATTTAGAGACACAGGCAAAATGTAAATAATACATTGTATTCACATTATATGGGAATGGGGAGTAGCAGAGACAGAGGAAGTGATGAAGATACATAAGGCAGATACTGTTACATACTAAAGGCACAATAATTGGGAAGGTCAATTTTGAATCCAGATCTCTCTAGTTCCGGGTCTTGTTTTCTTCCAATTGAAACATGGCATCTTTGACATTAAGTATCTTTTGGTGTTACTGTTGCTTTTAGACCTGAGAACCCAGAAGTTCTAGCTTTGAAATCTAACTCCACTCACTGTAGTAGTGCTACCCTAAGTCTCTTGACCCTTCCCACTGTTTACAGTATCTATCATCAATTACTTCGGTCTTTTGCTTTCTTAAAAATTTAGTTCTGCTCCCCTTTTAAATATAAGCATTCTGAGGATGGGGACAATTTCCTACAGGGCTGAGCTGAGACACTTGTAGATATAGAAGACACATGGCTTTTTTTCTAGCAGGGAGGTCTGAAGTCTGGTACAACTTACCATTTTCCCTGTCCCTTTATCATAGTATAGATTTATTAAAATTTCATTTTTCATCTATCAACTCATTTCTTCTCAGCAATCTTAACTAATAAGCAAAGCAAGGATTATCTTTACGAATTTTTTAGATTTATCTACTGTATGTGCATGAGTCTTTTGCCTGCATCTATGTATGTACACCACATGTATACAGTGACTGCAGAAGTCAGACAAAGGCATCTCATCTTTTGGAAGTGACGTTAGAAATGACTGTGAGCCACCAAGTGGGTGCTGGGAACTGAACTCCTCAGTCTCCTGCAAGAGCAATATGTGCTCTTAACTGCTGATCCATTTCTCCAGCCTCTTAAAGTTTATATTAAAACATTGAAGAAAATGGGCCAGCAAGATGGCTTAGTTGGTGCATGTGCTTCCCATAAAAGCGTGACAACCTGAGTTCCTTCCCTAGAACCCAAGCAAAAGCCGAGGGAAAAAGAGAACCAACTCTTGAAAGTTGTCTTCTGACCTCTACCTGTACTAAATGATATGTGCATGTCCCTGCCCCAGGATAATGGAGTAAATAAATTAGAATGAGAAAACTGAGGCACTGAGAAAAATAACTTCAGTGGAAACGGAGTAATTAAAGATCGGATCTTCTGGCACCAGATTCTCTGTTCTTTCCATCACTGCCTCTGTCACAGCTGTCATTCTCCTGCTCTGTGAGATGGGACACTTCAGGAATTAAGACGAGTAATAATTACTTCTTGGAATTGTGGTTCTAAAAGCCTTAGGGGATAACTTGGCAGAGCTGTATTCCTTTATGAGTTACTGTCCTCACAAAGGGACTAAGGCAAAGAGTAGTTAAGTGACTTGCTGGAAGTGGAGTGAACTGTCATCTGTAATAAGTAAGGAGATTGTCTCTTGTTTCTACCAAGACAGTAAACTTTGTGATCAATAGCTAATATATATTGACTATTTACAATTGTTAAGTGCATTGTTTGGTGATTTTTTTAATGTATGTAATCTTTACAACAACCCTATAAAATGAAAACTATAGCCTCTAATTTTACATTTGAAGAATTTGAGGCCTATAAAATTCAGAGAATTAAGTAAGCCACACAACCTGCTTTCATATTCAGCCCTAACTCCATTACTTGTGCTCACATTTCCTGTGCATCCTCCTCCTTTGGTGAAATTGCTTCAAGAGGGACAGGAACATAAGCTGTTCTTCCCTCTCCGTTCCCTTCAACACCATCAAGACTGTATACTTGGTGCTTGCCTCTTTTCTCTCTCTTCTGGAGTATCATCTAGTGATAGAGCCTCAGGAAATCTCAAGACTCTCCACACAACCATAACTCTTTATTCTGCATGACAGTACTGGCTGCCAGAAGGGCTGTCCTAGGGAGCTGGTCCAAGGCCTCAGTTGGGAACAGCAGGCCTTTGAGGACTGCCCAGGGAGTTTGCTGTCCTTGGAGAAATTGCATGTGATATCTGATGTTCACACAGGATGATTCCACTTTTATCCCTGAGTGCTCACATTGCCTTTAGTATCTCGTAGAGATTGATGGAAGCAGAAACCAAAACCCTTCCCCTGGAGAACGCATCCATCCTTTCAGAGGGCTCTCTACAGGAAGGACACCGATTATGGATTGGCAACCTGGACCCCAAAATCACAGAGTAAGTCCAGATCACTTAGTTGGTGATGTGCAGAGGTGCAGTGCCTGCTGCAGATGCTAAGGAGACTTTTCGGAGCAGTGCTGTGTATCTTGAGCCCTTCATTTGCTTTTATTTTTCTTTGATGGGGACATTATGCTGTCTTTAACCTGTTTCATTTTTCATACATTTGTACTCCACAACTGTAAGGACATATCTTTGATTTTCTTCATGCATAAGCCTCTTCCTTTTTACTCCACAAAGAATAGAACTCTTTGCCAATCGTTTGACTGTGTACCCAGTGGTTAAAAGGAATTGTTCTAGATCAACCTGAGGCATATTTTGTCTCCCAGAATGAAGGAACAAGAAGTAGTTTTGGGATCTTTGCAAATAGGCATTTGGGCCCCATTTGACTGACTGCTGTAAGCAACCACAGAAAGCAAGAGTGGGAAGGGATCTCAGAGATCACCCCTCACCCCTTTGGTGTTCACTCATTCATTTAATGGATGGAGTGTCTGTTGTGTGCACAGCACTATGCTGAGCAGCTTAAACAAGAGGAGCCCCTCTGGTAAATCTGAAAGAAGCTATGTGTAAAATAAGACTACAGAACTGCTTTCACCAAGAAGGGAAAAGAGGCACTCAAAGCCTTTTGACAACCTCCACTCTTCTTTTGGCAATCCCTATGTGAGCTGCCTGGGTTGAGATCACTTGGGGAACCTCTGATAACATCCATCTCTCTTTCCCTACAATAATGGTGATGATGGTGTAAGAGGCAGAATTACCTTGCCCAAGATCACATTACTAATTGAATACAATAGTCCTGACTCCCAGTCTTTCCATCAGAGCCATTATAGTAAAAAGGAATATCTTGGCAGGAACTAACAGGTTTTTCTTTCCATCACTTGTTCTGTTGGTTGATGGCAGAATAGCAATGGGTAGGTAGACTGACTTGAAGCAAGCTTGAAGTAAATGGGCAGTCCTGGAATGACTCCAAACTGGAATGACTAAACACAGAGTACTAAGAGAGGGAACCCACTGATTGAGTCTGGGGTGTGATGAGGTGTGCTTAAGGAGGGGAGTAGGAAAGAGGGAGAGATATGATTTTTTATCACAACACCAAGGTTAGCTCCTAAACCTATGAAAACTCAGATCATATAGGTGCAAATATCATTAAGTGTCCATATAAGTTACAGAGATATTAAAGATACGTCATGGGAACCCTTTAATGTGGATTGTATTTAACATCCTCTCTTATAACATTGAGGATGGATGTGTGAATCAGCACAAGTTCTTAATTAATGTCTTTAATTAATTAATGTTCATCTAAATCTTTCCGTCATCTAAAACCCAGGCTCTGAGGGGTGCCCTCCAGAGTGGTTTCCATTCCCATCTCTCCGTGTCTGAATGAAAATCTAAAGTGTGGAAACAATGCTGGTTGTGTTGGCTGTAGTTCCAGGTGATGAGGTTCTTGTGCTGATTGTTTTCTACTGCCCATCGGAGGGTTCACAAGGGCACCTGCCCTGGGTCAGTGGCATGGTAACTGTATGAATGTAATACTAAGTTACATCTTTAACAGGAACATTGGATTAAGACCTTCCCATTGATATTTCAGTCAAAGGCGAACATTAGATGACAAGTGTAGATCAGGCCTTGATGGCTAGAAGTGTTGTGTTCTACCTGTAGTATCCACATTTCTGTATTGCCAAACCATTTTCTCTGTTTTCCTTCTATGACTTCCTTACCTTGAAACAAACTGATTTGTTATATAATTTATTTTTAAAAATATAGCCGTTCATCAAAGGTTATGGTTCACATGAAAGCTTAGAGTCGCTTTACTAAATTTCATGGATCTCATGGAAACATTTCCTTCAAGTTGCTCAAATGCATGGACTTTTAGGTTAGTAATAATTCTCAAAGGGTAGAAAACAGTGAACCTAGCTAAATAATTAATGTATATTCACTCCCTGGTTTTGAAGGAATATGAACACGTGGTACTTGTGTTGTCAGTTGAATCCAAATCTCTAACCTTCTAATGACTCATAAGGGGAGTTTGCAGAATGTCTTCCAGTTTTCCTAATTAAGCCTTCCCAACCAAACACTGCTGCCACTTCCTGCTATTTCCTCTATACCAGACCCTTAATTCTC